TAATTCAGATAAGTAAAAAAAAAAAAATGCCTATCTACCTATTGGACAAACTAAAATCGTTCCGGACCACGGGAGTTTCCGGACCACAGAATGCCGGACTAGAGAGGTACAACCTGTACTGTATAGCAGTTGTAAAAGTAAAAGTATTGTTACACTGGCAAAATGTTACTCAAGTAGATGTAAAAGAATCCAAAATTCAATGTACTCAAGTAGAAGAAAAAAGTATCTCATTCATAAAATACTTAAGCACTGAAAGTAAAAAGTAACAACAAAATTATTAATCGTCTCAAATATTAAAATAAATTCACAGTAAATTATAAAAAAAACTAGTTAACTAAAGATAAATATAAAAGACAGCATTACACATATTTATTTGGAAATCTTTCTATTAAGATTAATCAATAACCGATTCTCAAAATTATGGCTGTCCAATCGGGATCTTTTAGGCCTAACTATAAGCCCAGCATAACCCAAAGAGAATAATCAGCCGCTCTTCTCCCTACAATCCATTGCAGGGAGTGTGAACTGGCTGAGTATATCCATCCAACACAATGATGACTTTCTTCCTTATCCACACAAGTATCGTCGACATGGACTTATGGTCCGCTGACATAATGTTGTTTCTCTGTCATTGGGTTAGGATACAGACCTATCTGGCAAGTATCTGAGGTGGGGGATGACCCGCACTTCTCTTCCTGTAAACACTAAACTGTCCCAATGCTAACACTCTTTAACACTACTGTATTGCCTTGACTGTCCCACTGTCAGGGACCTCCTACCACCTACTTATTCGTAATAAGTTAGATTTAATTCTTACACGCTACCTACGCTTTGGTGGGTGCTATCCTAATGCCCTTCAATCATGGCAATATTGTCTCAATATCACAAGTCATTGTGTGTCCTACGAGACACGAGTACCGTTGCATGACTAGGCTTGTCGCCCCCTGGGAATAAATTAATTAAAACCGTAATAAATAATAAGCCCAGCATGACTAAACAGATGCTCACAAGCAGCAGATGCAGGTAGTGGGGTGTTAAGCTTCAGAGATAAGTTACATATGTCAGGAAAGACCCCAGTAGCTCCATTCCATCCCCTGGGCATGATGCTTAGTAGCTATCAGGCTCCTTCAGTTGAGGAGTTTGTGGATGAATGTTGCCTCCATAGTGACTAAGTCTGACTAAGACTCACCATGAACCGTTCCTCAAATTGGGGTGTGGCTGTGGTGATGTCACTTTTCGATTCTACTATAATTGATGAGTGGCTGAATTTTTCACACCACATAACACCTGAGGTGCAGGGAGGGGCTGGGAGGGGGGTGGTACCTAGTTATTTAAGCAGAATTTTAAATACATTCGTCTCACACATATGATTAGATACAGGCTTTATATCTAAGCATTTTAGAATCACAGCCTTTGAAATTCGTTTTAGGTATAGGTACAGTATATGCAAGAGCAACTGATGTCAAGTGGGAAGACCAAGCCCCTGAAGGAAAAGTGGGGGAGAATAGAGGGGGATTCGATGGAGGAAGGGGGATAAGAGGGTAGGCTAGGCGAGGTGGATGGTCAAGATACTAATGAACACAAGAGGATCAAAGGGAAAATCCCGTCATGGCTACTGCCACCTGATCTGACGTCACCTCACCTCCCGAGACCTCTAGGTATGTGACTGCGTGGTGTCTCCCCACACCCACACACAAGATCAATGTAGACCGGACGAACAGCTGTCTAGTTCACGCTCCCTCTGCGCAGTGACGTCTCCTGAACTACAGCTGGCTCGCCCGCTCCCTCTCTCTCTCTCTCTGTCTGTCTGTCTGTGTCTCTCTCCACTAGTCTGTCTATCTTTACAGTATTGTCATCATAACCCCATTTCCTATATCCTGGTATAGGGGAGGTTTAGCTCGGAAAGAAGGAGAAAGATGTAGCTATAGTAAGAGAGGCTATTTAAAAGGGTGTCATAAAGGGTCTCGTCACTTTTGTCCCTTCATTGTGGAGGGAAGGAGAGCTGGCATTATTTGAATATTATTACTAATTTCCTGAAATTCATACGCTTATTTCAGTGCAATTTATCTGTGCACTTGAGTTCATAACTGTCTCCTCTGAAATGTTTCCATATCTGTGTGTATGCATCTAAAGGGGGAATAAATATATCCTGATAACTTATATTTTGTTTACACATATAGGTTATAAATAAATGACATACCGTATATACTAGGTGTATAGTTCGAGTTTTTAAACACAAATTTTAAGGCAAAAAATTGGGGGTCGTCCTATACATGCGTAATAGTTTTGTTAGGTTGAACCCGTGCATGATGGGAAGGGCGAGGAGCAACTTTTAACTTCAGACATGAAAAATATTTACCATTTACTGCCAGTAAACAATGGAAACGTAAAATATGTACCAATTAGTAATGAAAAGGTGTGCAGTTCCTTCAGCAAATGAAGCTCACCAACTTACTAGGCTAAATTACCTTACGATGCTTTCAGTAGTCTATGTTGAAGTTCTTAGCACAGGCTAACTTATCATATCATATCCGGTATCACAGTTCTCATTGATGTACAAAAAATACAGTAATAAAAACCTTTTCAATATTCATAATATAATACCTGGTAATCTACTTCAACCTCCTATTGTTTCTTGAACCGCATCACCACCAGCTCTATCAGCTAGAGCGGTACCGTGTTTTTCGAATCGTTTTCAGTTAAAAAACTGTTACATCATATATTTTACCTTAACTGTGCCTGAATGAATATATTCTTGAAATAAATAGTAGTTTTGCTGAAACGTGATGTATTTCAATGTGAAATAGGATAAAATACATGGCGAAAACAAAAGACTTTACCTAAGCTTCCGATGTTCTTGAGATGTTACTCGTTTTTTAATAGTTTTAGGTTAAATTCTGTTATATTACATTGATATTCTATTCATACTGTGCTTGATATACTACATTCACGGAAATGTAATATTTTGCTGAAATAGCGTCGTATTACAGTGGAAAGTGAAACAATGACTTTCGCTTTCTTCGTTCAAAAGATGTTTCCGTAATCGCTTTTGAATGGTTTAGTTAAAAACTGTTGTATTACAATAATATTCCTCCTAATTGACTTGAATAAATACTTGAATGGAAATATACAATATTTTGTTGAAACTACCCAGCGTTTCAGTGTAAAGTGTCGTAATAATAAATGGTAAACAATTTGCCTTCGGCACTAAGCGAACCTCAGTTTATAGGGCGTGAGCGTTTTTACTGAAGGTTTTGTTGTTCCATTACCCTAAAAAACGTGGGTCGAACTATAAACGAGGAATATCATAAATTAACGATTTCTTGGTCAAAAAATCAGGAATTCGACCTATAAACGAGGGGGGGTTATAGCGGTATATACGGTATATGATTTACATCAACTGTAACCCAAGGTAATCGGTTTTTCCTACTATCATTTTGATATTTTCTTAAATTTTCTATTTTCACCTCTGCAATTCTTAAAATTTTTCTAATTTATCCTAATACTACACTTCAGTTTCCGAATTCTAAAGAACACATATTTTGGCAAAGAAAGATAAAACACCATGGGGTACATCAACTCCAACACACTCTTATCTCAGACACAATTGTTTTGAAATCGTCTTTCCCCTCCTTAAGACTGTCCCCATGTACAGCCTTAAATACGTCTCTCATAATAGTTAACTGAGAAAATAAAGTGTCAGAAGGAACATACAGTTCACCTCTGTTTATTTCTCCTGTCCATATTTTGGTCACAGATGTGCACTCGGTGACTTTCTGGCCTAAGTGAGGGTATTTCACGCAAATTCTTCTTACAATATAGCCACCATTACCTCAGAGCTTCCTCTTCTATGACTAAATCTATTGCTTTACCTGCATTTTTGTCAGGGTTTATACACTCTCCTAGGTTTTCATCAATCTCATCACTTGACTCTTTTTCTACTTCATTGCCAATATCCAAGTCTTTGAAACAGTGATTAGTTATATTGAGTTCTACTGCCAGCTCTCTGTCATTGAAAAGTGTACCTTCATCATTTGTTTGTCTAAGCCCATAATATCTTGACAAGCAGTCAAAATTATCATTAGTTAAGTTCGATTCCTTAAAATGTATTGAGCACCATCCACTGTCTGCATGGATGTCATCAGCTCGGCAACAGGAATAAACCACGCTGTCTAAATTGTTTTTCCTTTGGAAAGCGGGTATATTTAAGGCATGATCCTGCTGTTTTTTTTCTTGTGTTATTGCATCCACATACTGAGCAATTGCTCGGCATATCTGCAGAATTGAGGCCAGTTCAATGAAAATGTACCACGTCACAAAATATTATACTGATTGCCTCAGACAGTGGTGTGTACACACAAATGGCCAGGGTCAGATTGGGGTCAACTTGTCAAGGACAAGGAGACGCAGGCAGGGTGAATCAGCTGACATCATCACTCCCGCCCGCCTCGTACCTCACCTGCACACCGTCCAACCTCTCTACATTGACCTTGCCCACACAGTACCCTTCATGGCTTCATCCATACCATACCCACCACCACATCTCTTTTAGTATGGTTCATAATTAATTATTTTAAAAATATATTATTAGTTTGCCACAGATATTAAAACTTTTTGGCTGGCAAGTAATGAGTAATGGTTCTCGTTATTTCAATTGTATCGGAGTAAAAGTATTATAAAACCATACTTAAGTAAAAGTACTAAAAAATTTGAATACTTTTTAAAAATTAAATACCTAAAAATGTTACTTGGATACAATCGTACAGTAAATTTATTTACCGGTAGTTACTTTATGACTACTGTATAGTATCGTAAGGTGAGCTCATTTATTCTCTTGAAATAACTGTAAGTAATAATGACGCCTTCCATCACCATTTAAAATTACCGTACTCTACAGTATATACAATGAATAATTTACATGAAGCTTATGTTTGGTAACTACTGTAGACTGGTATTTATTGGTGATGGTAGGTACTAATATTGTTCTGTTCTGTACTTACCTGCTGATGCTGCTGTCCTGACTGGTCCATCACCTATGAAGAATAAAAAAGTAAAGGGTAAAAAATACTGCATTGGAAATTATAGTAAACAAATTTACATCCCATATAAAACCTGATGGTGCCTGGACTCCAAACCATTAATATTGTACTTATATCTCTCTCTGATTTGCAAAGTCTGAACAGCACAAGAAAAATGTCACTGGGATTATTCATACTTCAAACCTAAAACACCAGCTAAGGATTCTCTACTATGCTACTCTGTGTGTGTGTGTGTGTGTGTGTGTGTGTGTGTGTGTGTGTAATAGTAATAATAATAATTATTATTAACGGTTTATTGAAAAAGTTCTGCAGTCCGAAGGATGACAATATACATTGGACATAAATGATAAATTACATACATACACTTGTGTGTGTGCTCTACATAGCTGGCAAGATTATCGCCCGAGTCCTCCTAAACAGACTTCTTCCTTAGGCGGAAAACTTCCTCCCAGAATCTCAATGTGGTTTTAGACCATCCGCTGGCACAACTGACATGATCTTTGCTACCCGCCAGATACAGGAAAAGTGCAGAGAAAAGCGTCGTGACATGTACCGATTACATGGCTTTCGTCGGCCTAACCAAGGCCCTCTGGTGGACCTTCAGCCATTTTGGCTGCCCACCAAAATTCATCGCCATTGTGAGGCAAGTCCACGATGGCATGGCGGCAATGTTCTGCACAACAGCACCCAGTCAGAGTTCTTCCCCACCTAATCGGGGGTTAAACAAGGGTGTGTACTGGCACCAACTCTCTTTTCCATCTTCTTGACTGCCTTCCTTACTCGTGCCAGTGCCAATTTAGCCAGTGGGATGAACATCCAGTACCGGGTGAAGAAGGGTCTTTTCAACACAAGAGCGACTCCAGGCAAGAACAAAGGTGTCGGCAGCTACCATTACTGAACTTCAGTATGCAGCTGACCTCACCCTTGTTGCTCACACTGAACACAACCTATAGGAGATCCTAAACACCTATACAGATCCGGAAAGCACACTTCGGCCTTGAGGTGAATGTACGTAGGAATCAGATTCTCTTTCAACCTGCCCCTGGTTCAGATACACCTCCACCATCAATCCAGCTTAACGGTACTACCCTCTCTAATGTTGCCCACTTTCGGCATCTTGGCTCTCACCTGTACACTGTCATGATCGTGATGACAGCTAACCTGAAAACCTTAAGGATTCATATTACGCTCAAACGTCCACAAAACCTTCAGTCCCCAGTGGAAACATCCCCAGTTTTCTCTGTTCCCGTCTTTGTTGTAGGGAACTTTGAATATAATCCACGGATTTTAGGCAGGCTGTATGTTGGGACCTGTTGCCATCCAACCCTTTGTAATCAATTTAATTTTGCTTTGATAGCTGAGTCAGAGCATTGTTAGTGAGGATAATAGTAGGGAATGAAACCGAGTTCATAGTCTCAGTTTCAACGTCAGAGTGTACAGTAAATTAATTCATCGAAATAGAAGTAGGTGGACTCCTGGCCTATTTTGAGTGGGTGCGCGGGCATTTCTACCGTTAGTAAGTGCCCGTCCTTCATCCATACAGGTATGCCATTCCACTCTGTGTTGTAATTCGCCTTCAAGTGATTTGACCCAATTAATAGTTGATTGTGCAAGTGTTACAGTAACGAGTTGATATGCTCTGAGTGAAGTCATATTTACGTTTTAACGTCCCCTGAAATGTGATGTCGTTGTCACTGTTAGTAAGTGCCCGTCCTTCATCCACACAGGCCCTAACGGCCTAGGTCAGGTCTGTAGCGTGGATGTTGTATCCACTATGTCTGGCGGAGATGTCCGAGGTCCAGTAGGATCAGTTACCTTCGTGAGACCCAGCCGTCAGACACTTCAGACTACCTATGGGCCCCATAGCTGGCTTGTCTGGCCCTAACGCCGCCTGCGAGGTGACCCGGATCACCAAGCCACACACCACTACCAGCCCCCATCATTGGTGGATGAGTGTCTAACTCAGTAGGGCTATTTGTGTGGGGATTAATCCACTGGAATTTTAGAGTTCAAGCCAGAAAGTACTCCATGGTGGCTGGACCCCATGGCTGTTGCTCAGTATCACCCCTGGACGACTGAGTGTTGTAGTGGCAGTTGCCCTGGTCTTTATGGTGCTAAGTGACTATAAGAGTTATGTGTTATTGAGTATGTCCACCCAGTAGGGTAGTAGTGGTGTGAGTATGTTGAGCCTGAGGGCCTAGTACTAGATTTCGTCTGTTGGTACATATAAATTCTTTCTCCTAATTTCATATTAATGTTTAAATAAATTTTGTATTTGTATATTGTGTCTATTATTTACCTACAGTATTTACCGTTATTTTTTCCCTATTACTTGTTACTATCATTACATCTACCCACGAGCCTCCTTTCGTCACGCTACCAAGGGTAATAAGTATGAGTAAAAGGAATTGTTACTGACACACAGGCCCTTATAAAATGGTGGCAGCTCAGGCCCTCATAACACCACCGCGGACATCGATGAAAAGATTCAGCATCGGATCAGATGTGCATCTCAAGCCTTTGGCAGACTCCAAAATCGTGTCTTCAGCTGTAGGGAGCCGAAATTATCAACAAAGCTGCACGTACATCGAGCAGTGGTCCTCCCCACCTTGCTATATGGCAGTGAGACATAGGTCACATACAAGAGGCCTGCTCAATTGGAAAACTTTCACCAACGTAGTTCGTTCCATCCTCCGTGTTCACTGGGAAAACAAGAGAACAAATGCCAGTACAGGTATTCTTGCTGACACCAACTGTAGTAGCATCGAGGCTACCATTATCCATGAACAACTATGTTGGACTGGCCATGTTACCTGCATGGATGACAGTAGACTGCCAGCAGCTACTTTACAGTCATCTAACGAATAGTAAACGAATTTCAAGCGGCACTTGAAAGGTATAAAGATAGTCTTAAGAAAAACCTGAAAAAGTGCCAAATCAACCCCCTCACCTGGGAGTCGATTACTCCACATCGTAACGTTTGGAGGAGTACCACATGAGAAGGTGTCAATGCTTGAAGTTAGCCCGGCTGCAAACCGAGGCAGACAAGCGCCAACGCCGGAAAGACGCTGCTACCGGCCCTCCCGCAGAAGATGGAGCCCTCCACATGTGCAACGACTGTGAACGACGCTGCGAGTCCCATATTGGTCTATTTAGTCACCTCAAAACTCACCAACCTACAGTAGATGACATCCCTAATAACTCATATCATTGCTGGATGATCGCATACTCGATTCAGAGAGAGAGAGAGAGAGAGAGAGAGAGAGAGAGACAGAGACAGAGACAGAGAAGAGACAGAGAAGAGAGAGAGAGAGAGAGAGAGAGAGAGAGAGAGAGAGAGAGAGAGAGAGAGAGAGAGAGAGAGAGTGTGTGTGTGTACCAGTTCTGGAATTCACTTCACAAGGAATGACCTCTTGTTTTGACTCCAAACTTGAGTGTGCAGGGCTGGGTTCTGACCTTGTACAGTACACTGCCCAGTGTACATTCAACAGACAAATGACTACTGTGCACCATTCATGGTGGAACAACCATTGGATGGACTGCCACAGTGATGAAGTAACCCACAAACTAATAAATGCTAAGAATAAGGAAACCAACACCAGCTCATGTCTCCTGCGCCATGAGCTAAGAGGCCTGCAGGATTAATGAAAGCCAAGCTATTTTTTTGTTACCTCAGACAATATTAGCAGGAATTATAAGCTGGTTTTAGTGGAATATGAGAAGTGTTGCTAAGAGGACTAGCAGGAAGTATTTCAGCGGCTGTCACACACTACAACTATTACCTGCTGTCCCACACAACTGCCCAGCCTTCCTGTTGTCCCACACAGCTGCCCAGCCCCCATGCTGTCCCACACAGCTCCCCCAGCCCCCATGCTGCCCCAGACAGCTGCCCAGCCCAGATGTCCCCAGACAGCTGCCCAGCCCCATGCTGTCCCACACAGCTGCCCAGTCCCCCATGCTGTCCCAGCTGCCCAGCCCAGATGCTGTCCCACACAGCTGCCCAGCCATCCTACTGTCCCACACAGCTGCCCAGCCCCCATGCTGTCCCACAGCTGCCCAGCCTTCACATCCCACACAGCTGCCCAGCCCCCATGCTGTCCACACAGCTGCGCCGTCCATGCTGTCCCAGACAGCTGCCCAGCCCAGATGCTGTCCCACACAGCTGCCCAGCCATCCTACTGCCCCATACAGCTGCCCAGCCCCTCATGCTGTCAGCCCCCAGAGCCCCCACAGCCCCAGCCCCATGCTGTCCCACAGCCTCCCCAGCCCCAGTGTCCTCAGAGCCCCATACTGTCCCTCACAGCTGCACAGCCCAGCACAACTGTCCAACCACCATGCTGTCCCAACAGCCACTCCAGCCACCTGTTGTCCCACACAGCTGCCCAGCCACCTGCTATCCCACACAGCTGCCCAGCCACCCTGCTATCCCACACAGCTGCCCAGCCACCCTGTTGTCCCACACAGCTGCTCAGCCACTCTTTTCCCACACAGCTGCCCAGCCACCCTGCTATCCCACACAGCTGCCCAGCCACCCTGTCCTGCCACAGCTGCTCAGCCACTTGCCCCACACAGCTGCACAGCCACCATCCTGACCTGCCATATACACCACCACTTACAAACCACCACCACGCCCAGACTGCCACCAACACCACGCACAACACACCACCACCAGGCCCAGACTGCCACCACCACCCACGCCCAGGCTGCCACCACCACCACGCCCAGGCTGCCACCACCACCACGCAAACACACCACCACCACGCCCAGGCTGCCACCACCACCACGCAAACACACCACCACCAGGCCCAGACTGCCACCACCACCACGCCCAGGCTGCCCACCACCACCACGCAAAAACACACCACCACCACGCCCAGACTGCCACCACCACCACGCCCAGGCTACCACCACCACCACGCAAACACACCACCACCACGCCCAGGCTGCCACCACCACCACGCCCAGACTACCCACCACCACACGCCCAGGCCACC